GGGGAGGGCTCCTCTGGTCCCTGGGGGAGGAGCCTTCCGGGCAGGGACACAGCCTCAGCACTGACATGTGGTGGAGTCAGCACTGCTGGGGAGGAGCCAGGGGTGCCAGGGAGCACCGGCCAGTCTCCTCCTGTCTTGTGAAGCCTGCCCAGTCTCTCCCCCAATCCCACTTCATTCCCCTCAACCTGGAGTGTGGTTCCATTGCGTCCAGAGAAGACGATGTGGGGCACCTCCCCTGGCTCTGAGCACCTCCCTCACCCCTGGGGAGCACAGAGTCCCCCCGCCCCCAACCTGCTGTATGATCACTAATGAGATCACGTCTGCCTCCCAGGAAGGGGCGATTAGCCTCCTGCACTGGGTTATTACCCTTTACAAGAGACCTGCCCAGCTGTCTGCCCGCCCAGGGCCATACACACCTGGCCAGGCCAGGACGGCTCGGAACCGCTTTCTGGCAGCAGGCTCCTTAGTAGACACAGCCTCCAGGGCGGGCGGCCAGAGCTGTGGGGGGACTGCACCTGGGCCTGCCTGGGCCTCAGGGCCAATCACAGGAGGAATGGTGCATCCCCAGTGACCCCCCAACCCAGCTCAGCCTGGGGAGGTGGAGGGGTCACTCCATAGGCCCTCACAGATGAGGGAGGACCCCCACGGTGCTGAGGCCCAGGGGTCTCAGAGGGGAAGGGCCTCACCCAGTGGAAGCCCTTGAGTGCCCTGCCATGCATGAAGAAGCTCTGTCTCCCTTGGGGCCACGGGGGCTGTGAAGGGAGGTGCCCCCAGTCCACACAGGGCTCCTGCTGAAGGGGGCCAGCAGGGCTTCCTCCACTCAGATCTGTCTCTCCCCCAGTGTGGGGATGCTGGAGCATCACCACCCCTGCCTTCCCAGATTCCCCTGCCAGCCCCTGCCTTTTCCTTGGCTTGGCTGGCTTCCAGTCTGGAGTCGGGGTGACAGACAGAGGAAGGAGTGGCTGGGAACATTCTCAGGGTGCCTGGGACATGCCCACCATCCACAGGAGCCCCAAAGGCCAGGAGGACTGGAAACCCTGGGGCCAGACCAGGCTGTCTCTTCCCCATCACCCTCCCCCTCCACCCACCCTTTTGGTGCTGCCCACCCAGCACGGGCCGGGGGGCTGCCGGCTTCCTGCATCCGCACACCTGCTCTTGTGCAGCTGCCTGTAGGCCTCTGCAGGTCTGCAGGCCCACGTGGGTGTCCCTGCCCTTGCCTGGGGAAGGACGGGCCCTCACACTGTGCCTCAGCACCTGTCCTTTGTCTTTGATCTTAGTCCAAACCCAAAGAGCTCATATATTGTCTTTCAGATTACTCTGTGGGGGAGGGGAGAGAAGCAAGAACAGGTGTCGGTGTTGGGTTATGGTCTTCGACGGCGGGTAAGGGGCAAGCAAGACACCCAGATGACCCCACCCCGCACGGGGCCCAGAGAGTTGGAGGCCTGAGCTGGACTGCCCAGAGCAGGCCCCTGGAAGCTCCCGCCTTTGTCTGCTGGGGCTGAGCTCATAAAACACCATGCGCACACTCCAGCTCAGGTGCTGCAGTCATGTCTGACTCTTCTCGACCCCGTGGACTGTAGCCCGCCAGGCTCCTCCATCCACAGGATTCTCCAGGCAAGAATACTGGGGTGGGCTGCCATGCCCTCCTCCAGGGCATCTTCCCAACCCAGGGATTGAAACCACGTCTCTACACCTCCTGCATTGGCAGGCAGGTTCTTTACCTGGAAGCCCCATAAAACACTACTGGGGGCTCAAGTGACAGAAACCTGTCTTCTCCAAGTTCTAGAGGCTGGAGGGCCACAATCGAGGTATCGGCAGGGTTGGTTTCCTCTCGGGGCTGTTGAGGGCGGGATCTGCTCCAGGCTTCTCTCCTCGTACTGGTAGGTGGCTGACTGTCTTCTCCCTGTGTATCTGCTCTTCCTCTGTCTGTGACCGTCCAAACTTCCTCTTCTGATACGGACACCAGTCAGATTGGATTAGGACCCACTTAATGACCTAATTTTAATTTAATTACCTCTTTAAACAGTCTGTCTCCAAATACGATTACATTCAGAGGTCCTGAGTCTTGACGAGGAGCATGATTTAGGCCTGAACAGTTTTCCAGCAACTCACGATTCCTCTGGCTTGCCGATCTTGGGGTTGGAACCTGCAGCCCTTTCCTGGGAAGCCCCCACTTCGAGGCTGAGAATCATTGAAGGAAGCAAGTGAGTATCCAGGACCAAGGAAAGCCTCTCGTCCTTGGGGTTGGGAGCTCGTGGATCCATGAGGTCCAGCCCCCTCTCCAGCAGGCTGCCAGTTAATTTTTCTACTTTATCTGGAGCCTTTCACCTTCTTTGAGTTGATAACGTAAGGAGGTGCCCCAGAGAGAACACACCTGACCTGACTCTATGAAACAAGCAGCATCCTTATCCCCACCCTACACAGTATAAAAAGGAGGTCCACCCAGGAAGCAAGAGAGCTGGGATTGGAACCCAGGCTGTGCAATCCTGGAGTTTAGGCTCTAGTCCAAGAACTTGAAGAAAACATAGGGGATATTTTAAAATTTCAAAATGGGAAAGATTTTTTTAAAGTGTGGCACAAATCCAGAAATATTAAAAGACTGATATATTTATTATCTTACAAAGAAACTACTTCATGGCTAATAATAATAACAACCACCACCACAAAAACTCAGACAAAAGACAAAGGAATTACCAGGGAAAACCGTGTAGTATATGCCAGTTACCACTTTCCTTATTATGTAATGAGCTCTTCCAAATCCATAAGAAAAAGTCTAACTACCCAAAGGAAAATTAGGGGAGGTGGGGAGAAAGAAAAGGTATGAATAGAGAGCTTACAGAAAAAAGTAGAAGTGGCTGCTAACACATGAAGAATCACCCAAGGGTCCTCACAGTTGAAGAAAGGCACAGCAAACTCTGACTCTCCATTTTTTCACCTATCAGAGTGGCAAATGGAAAAGACCAGTTCAGTACTGATGAAAGAGTGGGAAAGGGAATTTTTTCTGTATTTTAGGAGGGAGTATAAACTGCTGGAATAGGTTTTCTAGGTGTCTAGGATCTGAAGGGATATAGAAAAAAAATTGAAGGTGTGAGTCTTATCCCTCTAAGCAGTGCCACAGATAGGTATCTGCCCACAGAGACTCCTCAAGAGGTCTCATGGCACCAGCCTTTGAAATAGTGAAAACCTAGAGACAGCCTAAATGCCTCTGAGAGGACGGTGGTTGGAGAAATTACACCCCTCTCCCCCTGCAACAGAATCCCTTGCAGGCTTGAAAGGAATGAGGTTGATTCATAAATTCTGGCAGTGGGATGGGAGTAGGGATCACCTGTGCTGTGCTATGCCTAACAGCTTAGTCGTGTCCGACTCTGCGACCCCCTGGTCTGCAGCCCACCAGGCTCCTCTGTTCACAGGGATTCTCCAGGCAAAAATACTGGAGTGGGTTGACATGCTTTCTTTCAGGGGATCATCTCAACCCAGGGATCAAACCCAGGTCTCCCACACTGCAGACAGACTCTTTACCGACATCTACCAGGGAAGCCCAGGGGTCATCTCAGTTCAGTCGCTCAGTCCTGTCCGACTCTTTGCAACCCCATGGCCTGCAGCACACCAGGCTTCCCTGTCCATCACCAACTCATCATCTAGGGGTCATCTAGGAGGTATTTATTCTGGGAAAAGGTGAAGTGCTGGGTGTTGTGTAGAAGGATGTGCTCCCATTTGTGTGAGAACAAGAACTAGGATTAAGGAGACAGAAAGCAGGAAGAAGTTTACCTTCCATTGTTCCAGGGTCTCTGTGTTCTAAGATTCTCAGAATCGCCTGGAGGGAGTTGTTTAAACACTGCTTGCCGGGGCCACCCGCAGTGTCTGCTCCAGAGTGTCTGGGGTGGGCCCCCGAGTGTTCTCCATTAGTCTCCAGGTAACACTGCGGGTCCAGGGACTGCATGGAGAACCACGGCTGTAGTCTTTGAGTTAAGGTACCAAGTAGGGTGCTGGTTGTATAATTTTTAGAAATAATTTATAAAGATAATCCCTGGTCCAGGACCATGGCTGGCCTGCTCCTCTTCTCTGCAGCCTCTGCCAGTAATGAGTCCTCCTCACCTTGCGGTCAGAAACTACCCCCTGCATCTGCTGCTTTAGTGCGGGCCCCCTCCCCAAGTCAGGTCAGCAGCTCACAAGAAGGACAAGCCACATTCAGAGCACATACGCCACCACCTGCTGGGAGGTGAGGAGCAGACGCTGCCCCTAGAGCCCTCTCCTCGCTGAGATCTAAGCCCCAGAGCCCCTCAGCAATGGAGCGGCCCTTCTCAGGCTTGTGTGATCACAGATCACAGGCTCGCCCTGCCCTCTTTTCCCACCAAGACAGAAAAGCCGGGTTGACAGCTGTCCTGGTGGAAAGGCGCCGACTTCCCCGTGACAAGCGGGAAAACGCTGGAGACATGCAGCCATGAAGCCAACAGCAAGTCCCGGGCTGAGCAGAGAGGCGCTTGCTCGGGAGACGGGGCCGTCCTCTGGATCATCTCTGCCGCCGCGAGGAGGTCAGGGTCCCTGGGACGGCCCCCAGGACACCCCAGGAACGGGCGCCGGCCGCGGTGCCCCGGACTCCTGACCCCGGTGTGTGGGTGCCCTCTGTCTTTGCACCCGCATAAGCGGGGTCTCCTCAGCCCACCGCCCCCTCCCGTCCTGTACCCCGTGAGGCTGGTGAGCATACACAGGACACCGCCTGACCGCCCGCCTGCTGGTCGCAGCGGCCCATCCTTGGCCCCTTTCCCCTCAGATGCCCCCAGGCCCTGCCCCTCACCCCCGTGCCTTCAGGGAACCCCCCCTCCTGCCCGCCGAACCTGGGACCTGCTTCCCGCTTCCCACCTGTCCATTCTCGCTCCATTCTTGTTTTCAAACGGCGGGGAGAAAGCATGTTCATTAGGAAGCGTTTCGAGGGCTGTTAAGGTTTGCTGAGTGCCAGGCCTTTTGTCTGCCGTCCCTCCGCGCTTACCTGCTCCCGACAGGTGGAGAAGTGCTGATGAGGGCGGCCTGAGGGCCCAAGGCCAGGCCCGGGGCGGCCCGGCCAACAGCCTCCACGCGGAGACCTGCGGCGCCCGGACCGCGAGAGGGACCCCAGCGCAGGCAGAAGCAGTGGAGGTGAGGAGGGCGAGAATGGGCGTCCCACCTGAACAGCGAACTGAGAGACGGTGGCAGACGCTGGCGGAGGGAGGAGGGCGCCTCAGGGTTCCCTCGGACCAGACCTTTCGCCCTCACGCTGTTCCACAGAAGCACCAGGGCGTGGTCCCTCGGGAGGTGCCCTGGGCTCTAGGGGGCCATGTCACCAGATGGGGAGGAGCAGGGAGCCCCGCTGTGCGCGTGAGGGTCTGAGCGACCCCACTGCGGGGTGAGCGGCCGCGGAGAGGCGCCCCGGGCAGGGGCAGTGAGCAGCCCGGCCACCTCCCCGTCCGCTTCAGGCCCGCGCCCCGCCGCCCTGCACTGGGGCCCCGCACGAGATCCGGGTCACCAGCGAGGTGCGCGTGGCAGGGGCCTGGCCTGCGGGGGAAGGGCTGGTTCCAGACGCAGTCGCCACCCTGTCTCCTGGCCACTTCCTGCTCTTCCTGCCTGAATGCAGAAGCGACGTCTGGCCGCTGGTGGCCGTCCGGTGACGCTGAGGGCGACAGAGCCTGCAGTTCAAATGATCCCGGCTCCCGGTGCCCCCTCACTCAGCCCACCGCCCAGGCTGCTCTGGCCTTGTGCTGGGAGAAAGCAAATCTCCGATCAGGCTCAGTGCCTGAGGCTGGTTACAGGCCAGGGCTGCCGGACACAAGAGCCCCGAGTCCTAGTGCTGGCGGAGCTGATCGGAAAAGAGGGCCAGGTGTTTAGCCAGGTCCCTCGGTCTCGGATCTGGCTCCCAGGACCTCCCAGGACCTGCCGCCCCTCTCCCCACTGCACAGCCCAGCGCCCACTCCTGAGGCTGCCAGGAGCTGGGAGAGACATGCGCCTGCCCACTGCCATGGTTCTGCTCCTCCAGCTGAGTCTCTGGCCCCCTTGCCAGGCACTCCAAGGGCTCCCAGCCGAGCCCACTGGCAGCAGACAAGGGGCCACCCCAGCTCTTCCTTACCTCTGTCCCACTGCTCACAACGGTCAGCCTGCACACGGTCTCAGGACAGCCCTGAGATGACCCGGCACTCAGAGATGCAGTGACGATTGCTGAAGTGACCTGCTGGGGGTATGTGGCTGGAGAACAATGAGATGGAAATAGAGCCCAGTGTTCATGACCTGAGCTTCTCAGGGCAGGTTCCTCAATCCCACATCCAAATCTCCAGGGACAGAGCTCACCAGCTCCTACTCTGTGAGTGTGTGGGTGCTCAGTCGCTCAGACTCTTTACGACCCAATGCACTGACCCCCCAGGCTCTTCTGTCCATGGGATTATCTGTCCAGGCAAGAACACTGGAGTGAGTTGCCATTTCCCCCTCCAGTGCATCTTCCCAACTCAGGGATCAAACGCACGTCTCCTGCATTGGCAGGCAGATTCTTTACCATCTGAGCCACCTGGGAAGCCCTGCTCTCCTGCTGAATTAGGGTCTCTGGGGGAGGTGCCCCTGAATCTACATCATAAGCATTCCTCCAGAGCCCTGGCAAGATCCTGGTACACCCCAGAGCCCAGCACCCCTTCCCCAGCTGAGCTGCTTCCCCAGGTGCGAGGGGCAGGCCTGTGAGATGTCAGGCGCAACCTCCGCCCAGCACTGACCCTCTGGTGCCAGGCAGTGACGTCAATCAAGCGTTTCAGGAGGAAGGTCCTCGGCTGGCAGGCTGTTGAAAAGCCTGATGCCCAGGCTAGACTTCAGACCAGTGAGATTTAGATCTCTGGGGGTGGGACACAGGCACTGGCATTTTTTTTTTAAGTTCCCCAGGTGATTCCAAGATGGAAAACCTCCTGTCCCCAGGTCGTGTGGGTCACTCTCCAACCAGAGGGCATCAAAAGCCCCTGGCCAACTATTAAACACAGCTGGCTAGGCCCCAAGCCCAGAATTTCTGATTCATTAGGTCCTGGGAGGGCCCAAGAATTTGTATCTCCAAGTTCTCAGGTGGTGCTGCTGTGGAGACCTCACTGTGAGAACCAGTGGAGTGGAAGGAAGAAGGGGCAGAGGAGAAACTGAATGCTCCCGCTGGCCATTGTCAAGGTGCCGCTTGCTTCCAGTGAGCAGGCCCTGCTAAGGGCAATGTGTGGCTCCCTGGCGACGGGTTCTCCCACATGCACCCGCTGAGGATGGGACCCTATCTCCTGTAACATAATTACCGCCATATAGATGGAGATTGGGACCTTGCCCCCAGGGCCCTCAGGGAAGATGGGCAGGTTGTGCACCACACAAATCCAGGGGCGACCGTTCACACGGGGGTGAACTACGGTGCTTCCCCTGGCTGTCAAGCCTGACAGGCCTCCCACTCAAAGCTCAGAGAGTCACCATGGAGACTTCTCAGAAATTCTGCGCCTACATTTGCTTTACCACGCCTCGCCCCTGCCCGTTGGCCCCGTCTCCCCTCTGCCCCTTGGCCCCATCTCCCTTCTGCCCCTTGGCCCCGTCTCCCCTCTGCCCCTTGGCCCCATCTCCCTTCTGCCCCTTGGCCCCGTCTCCCCTCTGCCCCTTGGCCCCATCTCCCTTCTGCCCCTTGGCCCCGTCTCCCCTCTGCCCCTTGGCCCCATCTCCCCTCTGCCCCTTGGCCCCGTCTCCCCTCTGCCCCTTACCCAGTCTCCCCCCTGCCCCTTGGTCCCGTCTCCCCTCTGCCCCTTGGCCCCGTCTCCCCTCTGCCCCTTGGCCCCGTCTCCCCTCTGCCCCTTACCCAGTCTCCCCCCTGCCCCTTGGCCCCGTCTCCCCTCTGCCCCTTGGCCCCGTCTCCCCTCTGCCCCTTGGCCCCGTCTCCCCCCTGCCCCTTGGCCCCGTCTCCCCCCTGCCCCTTGGCCCCATCTCCCCTCTGCCCCTTGGCCCCGTCTCCCCCCTGCCCCTTACCCAGTCTCCCCCCTGCCCCTTGGTCCCGTCTCCCCTCTGCCCCTTGGTCCCGTCTCCCCCCTGCCCCTTGGTCCCGTCTCCCCCCTGCCCCTTGGCCCCGTCTCCCCTCTGCCCCTTGGTCCCGTCTCCCCCCTGCCCCTTGGTCCCGTCTCCCCTCTGCCCCTTGGTCCCGTCTCCCCTCTGCCCCTTGGCCCCGTCTCCTCTCTGCCCCTTGGCCCCGTCTCCCCTCTGCCCCTTGGTCCCGTCTCCCCTCTGCCCCTTGGTCCCGTCTCCCCTCTGCCCCTTGGTCCCGTCTCCCCCCTGCCCCTTACCCTGTCTCCCCTCTGCCCCTTGGTCCCGTCTCCCCCCTGCCCCTTGGCCCCGTCTCCCCTTTGCCCCTTGGCCCCGTCTCCCCCCTGCCCCTTGGCCCCGTCTCCCCTCTGCCCCTTGGCCCCGTCTCCCCCCTGCCCCTTGGCCCCGTCTCCCCTCTGCCCCTTGGCCCCGTCTCCCCTCTGCCCCTTGGCCCCGTCTCCCCCCTGCCCCTTGGCCCCGTCTCCCCTCCGCCCCTGGACCCCGTCTCCCCCCTGCCCCTTGGCCCCGTCTCCCCCCTGCCCCTGGGCCCCGTCTCCCCCCTGCCCCTTGGCCCCGTCTCCCCCTGCCTCTTTACCCTGTCTCCCCTCTGCCCTCAGCGATGCTTCAGGACTCCGCTTGCCTTGTGCCCACCCGCCCCAGGCACCCCCGGCTGGGCCTGATCTGAGCTGATCTGAGCTGATCTGAGGCTCTGCCCTCCCTGGGGCCCCCAGGGGTGAGGCTGGCGCACCGTCTGCCCTGCCAGGCAGACCTTGGCACTGGCTCTGGGCTGGGGCAGGAGCTCATGGCCTTCCTCCTCTGCCACTTCATGCTGCTGACTGTCCCTCCTCCACAGGAGATAAACCTGTGCGGAATCTGTTTTCTCTGGCGACACATGCTGCGGCCAGCAGGCTGGCGGCTGAGTCACCGGCAGTGGTCTCCTCTGAGCCCCCACCCACCCACCCCCGGCCCTCGTGGCCTCTGCGGGCTTCTCCCTTTCACGGGCACTTCCTGGCCTGACACCCATGTCCCGGGTGCTTCTGTCTCATGACTCAGGCTCAGCTGCCCCCACGTTCCTCCCACGACACTTGGCTGGTACGAGGGGGCACCCATGGGTAGGCTGGGCACCTCATTGCAGGCTGTTCTGTTTGGGACCCAAACACAGGAGAGCTCGTGGGCCCAGGAGCCTGGCTGGTAGGAGCCGAGGTCCACACCTGGCCTACCAGCCTGTGACTCTGCAGGGAAGAGAGGGCAGGTGGCCAGGGACCCAGGGGAGAGGGCATCCAACACTCCAGGGGGAGCGGGCCTCTGCCAGGCCTGAAGTAGTCGGGGAAGGAATGTCCCAACCCGCAGATGCCTCCCACGTTCGTCTCTCCAGCCTGGTCCTCTGCCCCAAACTCCAGGCTCATAAACCCACATGCCTCCTCCCGATTTCCAGCCCCCCAGACAGCTCCTCCTGATCCCACAGCAGCTCCAGCCTCCCTTAGCTCAGCCAAAAACTACGATGACATCCGACTCCTCTGTTTCTCTCACTGCGTGCATCCAAAGCTTCAGCAAATCCAACTTCTTTTTCTTTTGCACACCTGAGTTTGTCCATGTGACTGTGAAGTGTCACCAGTTGCCCTGGCTGAGGCCAGGGGGGCATGAGAGAGGCCCACCTCCCTTGAGCCTGCAGTCAGGGGGGGTCTCTCCTGGGAGGACAGTGCCGCCCACCGCTCAGGGGCTCTCATGGCTTGCTGGGACACAGGGCTGGCAGCGTTATTCTCCCAGCCCCGCTCTGAGGGCCAGGCCAGGGCAGCCCCTGGCTGGGGGGCGCTCCAGAGGCGTCCTGAGCAGGGGGCTCATGGGGCTCTCTCGAGCTGGGAGGGCCGCCGTCTGGCAGACCTGGGCCTGGAGGGGCCAGACCCCGTTGTGGCCTGGGCTGGGCAAGGCTGCTGCAGGGTGGCTGTCTCAGCCTCGGCTAACCCACCTAGCGTCTTGCTGACAGTGACATTGGTCTCATTTTTGTGAAAAAGCCAAGTTGCATAGTTTGCTCAATCCCCGATGGGAGGTGGGGGGGACAGAGGGCAGGCGGCACACAGGCCGGGTCCCCTGGCAGCTGCTGAGCCCTGGGAGCTGCCACCAGCTGCAATTACTTGCTGCTGACTTTAATTTCACATTGAGAAGCCACAGGTGATGGAAAAAGAAATTGGTCCCCATGGGCTGAATGCTTTTCCGATCTGCATTTATTAGCAGAGTTTCTGAAGGTGTCAGGAGCTGAACGTGAGGCAGCTGCCTCTGGAAGTGAGACCCACGTGCAGGGCAGGGATGGTGGGTGGGGGTCAGGAGGAGAGAAGCAGAAGGAAAATACTTCTGCTAGCAAGGGACCGTTCTTTGAGAGTTCTGAACATGCTTGCAATGCTCCTCCTCTGCCGGCTCATCCTCACCTGTCCCTCTTTCCAAATCTCTCAGAGGGCCCATCCAAACAGGCCTCCTCCTCCAAACCTGTGAGCCTGGGAATTTTGGTACTGGTTCACCTTGTCTCACATAATTGATGTGTACCTAAAGAATTCTTTGTTCATTAGCTTTGTTATAAATCAAATGCGGTTTTAGATGCACCAAAATGTTT